GTTTAAGTTAAGCCTTACACATTTACTGGATGTGTAGGCCTGGCCAAGTCACTTAACCTCTGTCTGCCTCAGTTTCCTTAACTGTAAAAGGGGGAAATAATAGTACTTATCTCCCAGAGCCATTGTGAGGATCAAGTGAAATAATTTTTAAATGTTTAGCACAATGCCTGGCACATAGTAAGGACTAATTAAATGTTACCTGCTATTATTATTATTATAGCACTCAGCACAGTGTTTGGCACATATTGGGCACTTGATAAATGCTTGTTTCCTTCCTTTTCTTTTTTTTATCCCCCCCCCACTTAACAGTACTTTTATTTTCCCTCCTAATTTCATCAAAAGATAGTTTCCAACATTCATTTTTGTAAGATTTTGTGTTCCAAATTTTTTTTCCTTCCTTCCCTCCACTCCTCCCTCCCCAAGATAGCAAGCAATCTGATATAGGCTATACATGTACAATCATATTAAACATATTTCCACATTAGTAATGTTGTGAAAGAAGAATCAGGACAAAAGGGAAAAACCATGTAAAAGGGAAAAAAAAGAGAGAAAACAGTATGCTTCTATCTGTATTTAGACTCCATGGTTCTTTCTCTGGATGTGGATAGCATTTTCCATCATGAGTCTTTTGGAATTGTCTTAGATCCTTGTATTGCTGAGAAGAGCAAGTCTACCCAAGTTGATCATCACACAGTGTTGCTGTTACTGTGTACAACATTCTCCTGGTTCTGCTCACTTCACTTAGCATCAGTTCATACAAGTCCTTCCAGGATTTTCTGAAATCTGACTGCTCATCATTTATTATAGCACAATAGTATTCCATTACATTTATATACCACAATTAGTTCAACCATTCCCCAATTGATGGGCATCCCCTCAATTTCCAATTCTTTGCCGCCACAAAAAGAGCTGCTATAAATATTTTTGTACACATGGGTCCTTTTCCCTTGCAGATCTAGTAACGGTATTGCTGGATCAAGGGGTACGCACAGTTTTGTAGCCCTTTAGGCATAGTTCTAAATTGCTCTTCAGAATGGTTGGATCCGTTTACAACTCCACCAAAAATGTATCTTCTCCATCATTTATCATTTTCCTTTTCTATCACATTAGCCAATCTGGTAGGTATGAGGTGGTGTCACAGAGTTGCTTTAATTTGCATTTCTCTAATCAATAGCAATTTACAGCATTTTTTCATATGACTATAGATAGTTTTAATTTTTTCATCTGGAAACTGCCTGTTCATATCCTTTGACCATTTATCAATTGGGGAACGACTTGTATTCCTATAAATTTGACTCAGTTCTTTATATATTTTAGAAATGAGGCTTTTATCAGAAACACTAACAGTAAAACTGTTTCCCAGCTTTCTGCTTTCCTTCTAATTTTGGTTACGTTGGCTCTTTTTTTTTTTGTGCAAAGCCTTTTAATTTAATCAAAATTATCCATTTTGCATTTCATAATTTTCTCTATCTGTTGTCTGGTCATAAATTCTTCCCTTCTCCATAGATCTGACATTTCCTTCCTTTTCTTGCTTCTATTGTGTAAACTTGTTTTTTAAAAATAAACTCTTATGAATTCAACATCTTACTTTCAAAGCATCCCCACTTGCCTGTTTCCTTCTGAACTTCTTTGCATTTCTAAAACTGCTCCAACGACCTTCTTTTCTTCTTTTTAGTTGGCAACACTATTCCTACATCATTTGACCTCATTACCCACATCACCCCCTGCCCATACCTACATTACCTTAATGGACTGTGAGATGCTACCTGGTACAGTGGATGGAGAATAGACATCTGAATCAGGAAGACTGGATTTAAAGCCCTGCCTATTACACCTACTGGCTGTGGGACACAGGGCAAGTCTCTTAACTTCTCAATGCCCCAAACAATTCTCTAAAAGTCTAAAATGGAGAAAAAGAGTCAATGTACATCAGAAAAAGTTCCTAAGAGCTCCCTAAAAAGATGAAATCATAGGTATAGTAAAAACACACACAAACACATACACATATACACTCGCCATATTTATTCAATCATCTCCCTATAAAACCAGCCAAGCCCCAGGATTCCATGAAACTTTGCCATGCTCATTATCTACCCTGTTGCTTTCTCCCCTTACATCTGTACATGTCTTGCTTACACATAGTTGTTTATATGCCATCTCTTTCGTCAACCTATACATTACTTGAGAGCAGGGACCATCTTTTGCCTATCCCAAGTGCTCAGCACTGTGCCTCTCAGAAAGTAGGAGCTTAATAAATACTTATAGGCTGGCTGAGTGATATCTGACACCAGTCAAAGATCAAAGATCTTTGAGATTTCTATCCTAGGCGGTGGGATACAGTTAGCCTGGCTGAGGACTGTCAGGTAAGCACTTTAAAATATATTAAACTCTTTTATAATCAGTTAGCTCCAGGATCCCACCTTGGTCACCAAGAGTAAAAGCTCTATCATGTGCCCTGTCCTTGACCCTAACTCCATCCCATATTCTCACCAGTTTTGACTCTTGCTCAGGAAATCAATAACCAAATAAGCATTACCATTGCCTACCTAAACAGCATGATCATCTACTATTATAGTTCAATTCAAATGACTGCCTAGGCTGAAGCCCCCTTCCTTGACTACCATTCCTCCTGACCCCCTCATGTTCATTTATCTCAGCCTCAGCCCCATCTCACTCTACCCTGTTCTTCCATCGTGCCTTTGGAACCCCAGCTCTACTGCTAACAAATTACTCTTTATATAAGGCAAGTGCCCTACTCCTGGAAATTCCTTTGTATATATTTTATACTTAGTTTATTATGTACCTGTTTTCCAGGTACTGTTTCATTTTTGTTTTTGTATTCCTAACTCTTAAAACAGAGCCTACCATATAACAGAAGCTTAAAAAATGACCGCTGAATTGAATTACTATGGAATATTGAATTTGCTTCCAACTATTTAAAATTACATATAAAGCTGTTTTAAAAACCTTTTGATAACATTTTCAGTGTATATTGTCAACAGTGCATTAGAGGGTAAAAGGATACAGAGATTTATGTGCCTTTTATTATGTACTTCCAAATTGCTTTCCCAAAGTATACTATTTGATTGCAATTCAACAAACAATGAATATATGCCTTTCTTTCCACAACTCTGCTAAAATTGAGGTTCACTATTTAAAAAAAATTTTTTTCCCACCATTTGGTGGGTTTGAGATGGTGCTTCTGAGTTTTAAAAAAAAATTCAATCCATTGACTATTAGTGAGGTTGCTTATTTTTCAAGCGATGATTGACAATTTGTTTCCTCTTTTATAAAGTCTATGTCCCTTTTCAATTTATTAATTAGGAATTAGGAGCTGCCATGGTAAGTTAACAGTATCTTATGTTTCGGACGCCATTTTTTTCTGTCATATTTGCTATAAATATTTGCCATAAATATTTTTCCCAAGTTATTTTTCTTCTGAAATTTGCCATAGATAGAACTTTAGAAATGGAGTCAGGAAGATCTGATTTCAAACCTGGCCTAAGACATTTGAAAATAAGGAGTTCCTGGAAAAGTCACTGTCTCAGTTTCTTCCCCTATAAAATGGGGATAATAATAGCACCTACTTTGCAGGGTTGTTGTGAAGATAAATTGTGATAATATTTGTAAAGCGACCTACAAAACTCAAAACATTATATAAAAGCTATTAACATTATTTGTTGTTGTATAGAAAATTGTTTTAATATAATTAATCCTGCCAACTTTGTCTCTAGTAATTCCTCCTTTTATTTAATAGAAACAAAGTAGTCTCCTCTATATAGAGAGGAACATGGATCACATCTGAGATTTCCACAGTGTTGTAAACCCAACAGTGAGGAAAACTCCCTCTGCCAATGCAAGCTGCCTTCTTATCTGTATCTTATAATTTCAGAGAGCTGACTAGAACATTAAGAGGTTAAATGATTTGTCTGAGGTCACATGGTTAGCATGTGTCAGAAGCAGGCTTGGAACCCTGGTCCATCTGATTTCTAGGTTAGCTAGTTAACCACTATACCATTCTGCTTTTCTATAACCGAGATGAATATATAATCTGATTATTCTGTATTTTTATAGGATTTCTTATGTTTAAGACTTTGATCCAATTGGAATTCAATGATATATTTGGTATAATATACATGGGTCTATGGGGCAGCTAGGCAGCGCAGTGGACACAGCACAGGCCCTGAAGTCAGGAGGACCTGAGTCCAAATCCAGCCTCAGACCAGCACTTGACACTTACTAGCTGTGTGACGCTGGGCCAGTCACTGAACCCCAATTGCCTAAACTCCCCCCCAAAAAAACAAAACAACAACAACAAAATAATATACATGGGTCTAAGTCCATTTCCTACCTTACTGCTAATCAGTTTTCCTAAGAGCATTTGTTAAAAAATACATTCCAAGTTTTTATTTCCCACAGGTTATTCAAACACTAGTATTTGAATGTATTTCGTTAATGAGTAATATCTTTAATGCGTTCCATTGATCCATTTATCTCTTGCCAGACAGTTTTGTTGAAATCTGCTTTGTATTATGTCTTATAAGCTCCAAAGTACAAGTATACCTCTTCTAAATGTTAGTATCAAGGTCTTTCTGCATCTCGCAAGAAGACCCTATATCTGTCCTCTAAGCCCCATTGGAAATAAACCCAAATATTTCTTTCTAAAAACAATTATCCTGAATCAGTTCCCTTTTTTATAGCATTATTCCCAAATTCAGAATTGCTCCATAAGCAATTAGTTCAAAGCAACTCAACAGTTAATTTTTTAAACATTATTCCTGTCTTTCCCCCAGTGTTTGTTTTTATTTTGTTCTATTTTGATGATGGGATGATAGATTTAAACCACAATAGTGACATAACTTGCAATCAAGAGCATAAAAAAGTTTAAAAAATAGTACACTTAGTTTCAATACTTGAAAGCATAATTTCACATCTGATAAGAATTAATTTTATTTGAGTAAGTTTTAAGTTATTACAAAGAAGCCATAGTTGATACTTACTCCATAATTAGTGGTTCATCATAAAATGTCCTATTGAAAATAGTCTTATTGTGAGGATCTGGAGGAAAAAAGTAAATTCATGGAATCAGTTATTTGACATACTTTGATCTAAAAGGAAATATCACCAACTTCCCAAAAAGCATTTCTAATTAGATGTCTCAGAGACATCTCAAAATCAACATGTCTAAAAGAGATCTCTCTCAGAACCCATTCCTCTTTCAAACTTTCCTAACACTGCCAAAAGCACTATTTCTTTAGTCTCCTGGGCTTGCAACTCCATCATCACACTCAATTGTCAGATCTTGCTGTTTCTATCTCTTTCTCATCTCACAGCTGACCCTTATTCTCCATTCACACAGCTATCATCTCAATTTAGGTCTGCAAAATCTCTTGTCTAGGTTTTTGAAACAGCTTCATAATTAGTTTCCCTCCTTTAAGTCCCTTTCCATATCTTCTACACAGTTGCCAACGTAATTTCCTTTAAAGACAAGTACGTATTATTGGGCCTATGGAGAAGGAGGGAAACTATTTCATCCCACTTCACTGCTTAGGCTTGCCACACAATCCCAATCACCTGCTAGGGCCTGCTCAAGGAGGAATATACCATTCCATTCTCCCCCTTTACCAGTTATTAACCTACCTGAACTCATCACACTCTTCCTTCCCAAGGACTCTGAACCCCTGGCTATCATTTTAACTGTGGTGCTGCCTGCTCCTATATTCTCATCCCCCTCAATCCACCTCTATCCTCTCCCCACCCTGCCCTCCACCAAATCTCTAAGCTTCCCACCTTTCACTGTGCTCTTTGGGAGGCCTGTTCCATAGGCAACAAACTTGCATTTGTCTTAAGTCTTTTCCTTTCCTGATGCTTCTGTCTTTTGAAACTCACTGAAATCTTGCTCCCCAAGATGGGGAAACTGGAATACTCCTTGTTTCACATTGCCACTTCCAGGCTCTCCCCTTACCATCATCACTTAGTAATGTCTCCTTATCTGAAGTTCTCTCAATCCATATTTACCACACAATCAAGATTCTGATAGCTGTTGTCTACTGACCTCCAGGACACACTCCCTTTTTCCTCAATGAGTTCAGTGTCTGGCTCACTGTCTTCCTTTCCTCCTCAACTCCTGCTGTTGTACTAGGGAACTTTAATATACATATTGATGCTCCTGCAAAGACACCTTAAGCTCCCAGTTCCTTAACTTACTCATTTCCCATGACTTACTTTTCTACTCCACCTCAGCATCACAAAGAGGTAGTCATACCCTTAATTTTGCCATCACCTACAAATGTACCACTTTCATGTTCATGAACTCTGAAAATCCCGTATCTGATTACAGTCTGTTGCCATTCCACTTCTCCCTCGGCTTTGCAACCCCAAACCCTGTTCTACATATTCTTACTGTGATCTCCAATCCCTTATATTCTCAGTTCTTTCCCAGGCCGTCATCTTTGCACCGGTTACACTCTTCCCCCATCTCCATCTTGACCCCATGGTGAACCAGTTCAACTCTACTCTGTTGCCTTCTGTTCCTTGTCACCTTATCCTATTTCCAGTTGTATCCTGCCAAGCCCCAGCCTTGAATAATTCTTGCCATCTACTGCCTTTGCTCATATTCACTTGCTGCTGAATCAAATGAAACTGTGTGGCTGGGTCTACTAAAAATATATGTTGCATAATCTCAACTGGGCCCTCATTGCAGGAAAGTAATCCTTTTACATTTACTTAAATGAATTATTATTTCACTCACCACAGGGACTTTTCTGAACATTTTTAACCCTCCTCAAACTTCCCATAGCTTCCCCTCTCACTACCCTCTAGGCTGACAACTGTACCTCATATTGTACCAAAAAATTGAGGCCACTACTTGACATCTCCCTCTTTTCCCCTATTTCTCATTTCATATTACTCAGAAGCTTTCAACTGCTATTTCCTGCTTCACCCTATCTCACTTGATGGGGTGGCTCTTCTTCTTGCCAAGCAAAACCACTCTACATGTACAAGTGATCATCATCTACTATGTCTTCTCAGTCAGGTTACCCCTTCTTTCATCTCCATTCTCTCAATATTCTTCAATGTCTTCCTGTCTACTGCTCCTTTCTACTGCCTTCAAACTGTCTAACTACAAATACAAACACATTTCCCCTACATCCTCAAAAAATGCTCATTTCATGCTTTCATCTCTGCTATCCTTTGTCCTATATCTCTCCTGCTTTTTGTGATTAAACTCCTTGAGAAAGCCATCTACAATAGATGCCTACGCTCCCTCTCCTCTTATGCTCTTCTTAAACCTCTACAGAGTGGTTTCTAGTCTCATCATTCAATCAGAACTACTCTTTCCAAGGTTACCAATGATCTAGTAACTGCCAACTGCAATGGCTTTTTCTCAGTTCTCATCCTTCTTGACCTCTGTGTTGCCTCTAACACTGTTGATCACTCTCTTCTTGATACTCTCTTCTCTCTAGGTTTTTCAGACACTTACTCCCTCTTGGTTGCCTGTCTGACCATTCTTTCTTAATTCTCCTTTGCTGACTTTCACCCAAGTCAGGCCTGTTCACTAATGTTCCCCAAGGTTCTGTCCTGGCTCCTTTTCTCTTCTCCTTCTTAATTATTTCACTTAGTGATCTCATCAGCTTCCATAGATGCAGTTATCATTTTTCTATGCAGATGACTCCCAGATTTGCTTATCCAGCCCTAACCTCTCTCTTGACTTACAATCTCCTATATCCAAATGAATACTAGGCTTCTCTGACTAGATGTCCCATGGACAATGTAAGTTCAACTTGTTCAGAACTGAGCTCATTTATCTTCCCTCTTTAACTTTTATCTTCCCAAGAGTTTCCTTCTTCCTGTTATTACTATCAACGGCACCACCATCCTCCCAGTTACCAAGGCTTACAACCTAGGTATTATCCTCAACTCCTCATTCTTTCTCATCTCTGATAGTCAATCTGTTGCCAAATCCTGGTAATTCTAATTTTATACCATCTCTCTTATCTGCCCTTTGTCTCTCCAATGACACTGCCACCACTCTGGTAAAGGATCTCATCACCTCACACATGGACTACTGCAACAACTCACTGGTTGGCCTCTCTGTCACATGTCTCTCCCTACTCCATTCACCTGTCAAATTGATTTTCTTAAAGTACAAGTCTGACCATATCATCCCCCTTACTCAATAAACTCCAGTGGCTCCCTGATAACCTCCATGAATTAACTTAATCACAAAAACTATATAATATGAAACTTTTAAAAAATACAATTTTTTTCATCTATCTGTATTCTACCCTCATAGTCACCAATCTCTCTTTCCCATTGGAGGACTGATTATATAAAAAGAGAGAGAGAGAGAGAGAGAGAGAGAGAGAGAGAGAGAGAGAGAGAGAGAGAGAGAGAGAGAGAGAGAGAGAGAGAGAGACTTCTGTAGATACAATCACTTGTCACTATAGCCAGAAAAATAACATGCAAATTGAATGAGGAAAAAAAAGTAGTAATTGCTATTTAGATCTTACACACACAAATAATTATAACTACAGAACTATATGTCTACGAACTGAGATTAGAATCATATTTCTGTTACATTCAGGTTAAAAGTACCAGGAACATTGCTTACTTCAACATCCACTGACAAATTAAAGAGTTAAATATGTGATATAAGTATACTTACTTAATGTTTGATTTTGTCCCCAGAAGATAACAACTAATAACTCATCGTTGGCATGATTTATGGGGAGATATGTTAAGAGGACATCCATTTGTGAATCTCCATCATAGTCACCAGGAACTACACTTGTTATCAATGAACTTTGATTCCTAAAAAGAAGTTTAAAATTTTTTGTCAAGGCATATTAAGGAAGAAATCATCAATATTTACTTTATTTTGGAGTATTATTCATGCAAAATATAAATATTCATACAACTGATCATCTTTTTATACATACTACAAAAAATAATTACACAGTTCTATTTTATAGGGAGTAAAAAGGTTCATATACATAAGTAACAGTCATAGGGATTAAATTAATCCTGGAACCTAAGCTCAAGTTTATGTTTAAACATCAATTATTAAACTTAAAACACACTTACATGATTTCTTATTCAAAGACATAAGACAACCTAGTTTTGCCTAATTTAATTAAATTTGATTCCATTAGGTTAAAATAACAATTACTAAGTTTTTATTATCACAAGATACGGTCCTTAGTGCAATGAGTAACAGAAAAAAAATGAGCAACAGTCCCTGCCTTCAAGGAATATATATTTTTTTTCTGGTGGGGGAGGGAGAAGTTAAAGAAGAAGGGGAGAGGCAGGAAGGAATCAAGGAAGGCTTCACTAAGGCAGCATCTGGCTAAAGATGGAATGGTAGAATTTTGACAGAAGAAGATGGAATAAAAAGTATTATTGCCAGAGGGAACAGCCTAAGTGAGACATCAAAGGTCTGGATGTAAGAATGTGTAAATCAGATGAAAGAATGAGGAATGGTTCAGGTTGACTATAGTGTGTGATTTGAGAGGGACAGTAGTGTGTCATAAGCCAGTTATAAGCCAAGGGCTCTTGAACCACCTTGAATGTTAAATTTGGGAAAATGAATTTTATTCTACAAATAATGAGTCACTGATGGTTTCTAAGTAGTGGAGTAAGGTGATCACAGCTGTACTTTGGGAAAATTAATTAAGAGGGAGAAAAGATAATAAAAGACTCCCTTCTTTTGGTAAACAGATGTGGGAGAGACTACAGGGGTAGAATGTTGCATGTAATACCAGATGCGTTCACTTTGTTGTAAGTTTTGCTCAGGTGTTATTTATTTGTTACACTAAAGAATTCAATTTATGATGGCGGATAGGTTGGGAAATAATTATAATGTAAAAAACAAAAAGCATCAATATAAAACCTAAAAACATTAAAATGCAAATTAGCTTAGTGTGCATGGTAAACTGGAAAGGCAATTAACTAGAGACAGAAAGACAACAGTAATAAGTTATAACAATAGTCTAAACAAGAGGAAAAGAGAATTTAAATTAGGAGAGTAAAAGAGGAAATGCAAATGAAGGGATGAAGGAGAGATGAAAACTATAGTGAAGAAGAAATCATGTGTGAGAATGCCAAAAACTAAAGGGTAAGATGATACTCAGGCTTCAAATCTAAATGCATGGAAAGATGCTGATGCCACTAATTGAGATATGGAAGATAGGAGGAAGGAAAGGGTGGTTTTTTGGGGTGGGGTGGAGGGAGGCACAACAAGGAATTTGGTTTTGGACAAAATTTCAGAGAAATAACCGCATACATATGTGTGGAAACATCACCAAGAGTTGGGAAGACTTTATCTCAGGAGAGAAGTTGGGGCTAGAAATATAGAGCAGATAATTTTCCACAAAATATTCTATTGAGACCATGGTAGTAGATGAAGATGCCAATGTAAATTTTGAGTAAAGAGAGAAAAGATAAGTAGGTTAAGGACAAAATCTTAGAAAATAGTCACATTTAGGCACTGAATAACAAATGGAGACCTAGCAAAGGAGATAGAGAAGGAACTGTCAGAGAAGGGGAAAGGTAGGGAAAGAAATAAGAGTGGGCAGTATTTCAGAAGTTGAGCATTTCAAGGAGTGATGATTATAGTAAAAGATGAGTGAAACTTACTGAGAAAAGTATCAACACAAAGCCATTGAAATTTAACAATTAGGAGATCAATAATAATCTTTCACTAAAGTGTAGTCTTTTTTAAAAAGCCAAATAGCACAGGATTCAGGAATAAGTGCAAGAAGAATGAAGAGGCAGTGAATACAGACCAAACTTTTAATAATAATGATGAGGTAACATATTTGATTAATTATAGTACTTTAGTCTTTACAAAGTCACTTTATGGATGTATGACTTATTTCTCTATACATATTGGAGACAATCTATCTTCTATGCCTTTTGTATATTTTTCAGTGCTAATACAATAAAATGAACAATAAATGCATACTGATTTAAACACTGCATCTTGGCCACCCTTTCCAGTAATGGGTGTACTATTTCTCATGCTTCCTAACACACAGGGCATACTCCTTTCCCCTCTGCTCCTCTTCTGAATTCTTAGCATTCTTTCTCATTTGGAAGTTTACATCATTCTAACCAGCTCCTGGTTGCTACCATCTATTGGACTTCAAAGTCATTACCCTCCTTTCTCAAAAAGTTCAGTATTTAGTTCATGATCTTTCATCTCCTTCCCTGCCCCTGCCCTTATACTTGTAGCGTTCAATCCACACCTGAAGATCACCTCAAATACTCTGACCTCCCAAGTCATTAACTTCCTCAGTTCCAATGTATCTATACTCTCATTATACCTATGCTACACACACGCATGATTGTGACACTGATCTTTACTGTGAGCTGTGTAAACCTCTTGACATCATACCTTATTCTCTCCTTCTTGACTCCAATCTCTGGTGAAAAGTTGATCTTTCTCCTTGCCAAGGACAGTTTCTGCATATGCATCCTACATCTCACCCTCTTCCATCTTCTACAGCAGATTGTTCCTATGATCATCCTCTCTCTCTAATCTTTAATCTCTCCTTATGTAAGAGTTTTTTTCTTGCCATCTTCCTTCATCTTGAAAACAACAATAACAAAAACCTTCACTATACCCTAATATCCTCTCAAGCTAAAGTCTTGTATTTCTCCTTCTTTTCAGAGTCAAACTCCCAGAAAAAGTTATCTGCACACTTTGCCTTTACTTCTTCTCTCACTCACATTTCAGTCCTTTGCAATCTGGCTTCCTACATCATCATTCAACTAAAAATTATCTTAAAAGTTACTGATGACCTCTTAATTGCCAAATCTGATGGCCTTTTCTCATTCTTTTTTTTTAAACCATTGCACAGAATTCAATACTACTAAAGACTCTATTCAGAGTTCCTTTCTCCAAGAAAAAAAAATGTTTTTTAAAACATTTTTTCCTCTCTTGATTCTTCTACATGTCTGAGAACTCCTTGCTACTATTCACTGGCTAGTCTTTCATCACCTGCCCCCTAACTGTAACTATAACCCAAGTCTCTATTCTGAGCCCTCTACTCTTCTCTCTTGGTGAGCTCATCAGCTTCCATATCTCTACGTAGCTAACTCCTAGGTCTACATATCCAGCCCTAGTCTCTCTCCTGAGCACTTCGTATACAACTCCAATTGCTGAAATGACATTTCAAGCTGTATGCCTTGTAGGTACCTCAAACAACATATCTAAAAGAGAACTCAGTGTATTTCTTCTTAAATATTTCCATCCTCTGAACTTCTCTGTTTTATGGACATCAACATCCTTCTAATCATCCAAGTTTGTAACCTTGGCATCGATCTTGACTCCCTTCTCCTCCGCACCCCACATATCAAATCAGTTGCCAAATTTTGTCATTTCCACCTTCCCCCTATCTCCTACATCCATACCCATCTCTGTACTCACATAGTTACTACCCTAGTCTATATTTTTATCCCCTCTTGCTTGGATTATTGAATTGCTTCTTAACTAGTTTCCTGTTTCAAGTCTTTCCACTCTCCCCATCCTTCACTTAGGATTCAACATGATTTTCCTTAAGTGAAGGTCACTTCTACTCAATAAACTGTGATGACTCCCTTTTATCTCTAGAATCAAATATAAGTTCCTCTGACTAACTTTTACAGCCCTTCACAAATCATCATCAACTTCTTTCTGCAATCTTATTATACATTACTTCCCTTCCCACAATCTGCAGTCCATCCTGGGTGGCCTTCTTGCTCTTTCTTTTCTCCAGTTGTGTACCTCAAAGTCTCTTTACATCATCTTCTATTCTTTCCTCATTTGCTCCAGTCTCTGAAGAAATGGGGCTCTACTACTTGTTAAGACCAATCCCTCTACTTGAGCTCAACCTAGACCTCATGTCCTCTAGGAATATGGCCCTCTAATCTGTCATTTACTAGCTCCTTCCCCAATACACACACACAGACACAGACACACACACACACACACACACACACACATATAACTAGGTCACCTTCATCCTTACCTGTCTTTATTTAACTCTGCCACCCCCTTATGCTATCTTGCTGAATCTAGCTTGCCATTCACAACCAAATTCCTAAAAAATCCTCTCTACTTCTCCACTCATCTATTCCTCTTGCTCTTCAGCTTGCAAACTGGACACTGACCAAATCATTCAAGTCAAACAGTAAACCAGCATTTGCTTAATCAACCAATCTGATGGCCTTTTCTCAATTCTCATCCTTCTTGATCTTTCTGCAGCTTCTCACTCTGTTGACCACCTAATTCTCCCTACCTCAATACTCTCTTCTGCTTCCTGTCTGACCACTTCTTTGCAGTCATTTTTGAGATAACTTTCTTTTTTTCTCTTTAAAAATTTTTTAGTATATATACTTTACTTACACATTTTTTTCAACATTCAACATTTCAACTTCTATAAGATTTAGAGTCTCAAATACATTTCTCCCTCCGTCCCCTCCTTCTTCCCCCCCAAGATGGTAACCAATCTGATATAAGCTATACATGCATAATCATAATGAACGTATTTCCACATTAGTCATATTGTGAAAGAACAAGCAGAACATAAAGGAAAAACCCTGAGGAAAAAAAAAATAAAAAAGGAGAAAACAGTATGCTTTGATCTTCATTCAGACTCTATAGTTCTTTCTCTAGACTTGGATAGCATTTTCCATAACGAATCTTTTGGAACTGTATTGTTAAAAAGAATTAAGTCTATCAAAGTTGGTCATCACACACTGTTGCTGTTACTGTGTCCAATGTTCTCTCAGTTCTGCTCACTTCACTCAGCATCAGTTCATGTAAGTCTTTCCAGGTTTTTCTGAAATGGATAATTTTCAATGTCTTGCCTATAAGTGGAGCTATCCTTGTAGGCTGTCTAGGTTTTCTCTTTTCTCCTTATACTACTCCTGATGATGTCATCAACTCCCAAGGGTTCCATTACTATCTCTAAACAAAGGACTCACAGATTTGTATTGCCTGGCTCTAATCCCTCTCCTGACCTCTAGTTCCATATCACCAATTGCTAGTTGGATATCTCCAGCTGGATGTTTCAGGGGTAAACTCAACGTGCCCAAAACAGAATTCATTTTATTTTATACCCCAAAGCCATCCTTCCCTTAAGCTTCCCATTGTTTGTTAAAGGCAGTATCATCCTTACAGTCAACTAGGGTTGCAATCTAGAGTGATGCTTAACTCTTATCTTTCTCTTATCCCCCTCCCCCAATCTAAATCAGTTGTTAATTTTTATTTCTTGTTGATTTTGTCACCATGATATCTTTTGGGATTAATCTCTTCTTCTTCACTCATTAGCCCTTTCCTTCTCGCTACCTCTTCTTCCCCACCCAGGATAGGTTCTATCGCATACTTTCTTGCCTGGACTGTTGCATCAGCCTCCTAAATAGCCTCCCTGCATCCAGTCTCTCTTCTCTTCAGTACTATCATCCAGATATTTGTCAAAATCATCTTTCTAAAGCAGAGGTCTGGTCATGTCACTCTCCTACTCAAGAATCCTACTCTACTGATGCTAGGGGAAAAATAAAGCCCTCAGCTTGGTATTTAAAGTTCTTTACAATCTGGTTTTATAAGCCTTTCCAGGCTTATTTCACATAACTCTCCTACACACACTGCATACTCCCAGTCAAACTGACATACTCACTGTTCTCTCTTTCCCAAATTGCATTTCTTGCCTTTTGCCTAGAATGCACTACCTCCCTCATCCCAGCCTCTTAGAACCTGGGTTCTTAATTTGGGGTCTGTGAACTTTTTTAAAAAATCTACATAATTGCATTTTAATATCGTTAGTTTCTTTTGTAATTGTATGTATTTCATTTTATGCATTTAAAAACATCATTCGGAGAAGGGGTTCATAGATGTCGTCAAATGGCCAAAGGGATCCACAACTCAAAAAAAATGTTAAGAAAGCCGCATTAGAATCCAAAGGTATCATCTATTACAGGAAGCCTTTCCTCACTTTTTTTTTGGGGGGGGGTTAGGAATGCTTCAAATGCATCTCTTTTATTGAATATCCATCTTTTTAAAAATTGATAAGGCTCGGGTTTGCAGGGTATGCTATTTTGGGTTGTATTTTGAGTCCTTTTGCTATTCAGAATATATTATCCCACTCCCTTCTCCGGTTTCTTGTAGGTGTTGTTGCCTTATGTTATTTAAACTTCCTTTTCTTTATAGAGTCTTTCCTGATTACTTGCAGAATTTGTTTTCTTTTTTTATTATTGGAACTGAGAAATTCAATCATTATGTATCTCGGAGTTTGAAGCATGTTTGTTTGTTTTTTTCCTGGAAGTGATTTTCTTTCCATTGCAGCTCTTTTCTGCACTCAGAACTTCCAGGAAGGTTTTAGGTTTTTTGTTCGTTTATTTGTTTTGGTATTATTTCTTCCATCATGGTGGGTTTTGGTTTTAATTTTTTTTTGACTTGTCATGCTATCCTAAGTTCTCTCTACACATTCTGTCTTCAAGATCAATGTTTTTAGTTTATAAAGGGATGTTTTTACAACAGATGTGTTAAACTCACAAGGCCATGCCTGCAAAACTGCTGGAACCAGATTAAAACTGGGAATTTTAACAACTGGGAAATGTTTAACAAAAATACATATATAATACAATATGGTTAATGTTAAGTTGTGGTTTTCTAAGTCAACATGTAGCCTGGCAGGGATCTATTTCTATTTGAGTTTAACTGTTAACTACTTTACATTACTGCTTTTTTGCTTCTCTTCTTCAAGATTTTCTTTCCTTTTAGTATAGTTACATTCCCAATCTGTTATATCTTTTCCTTCTGTGGAGAGACTTGCCCCCATGGGTTTAAGTTTTTCTATTGTGCTAATTATTTCTGCTTTGTGGGAGACATAAATTCTCCCATTTGTTCCTGTCTAAATTCTTCTCTTAAGGTTCTGATTTGGCTCTTGAACATTCTGGAGCAGGCTGCAGCAGTTGTGTGCTCTTTGGAGCATGGTTCTAAGTCCCATCAGATGGTGTACGGCTTCATTTGTTATATATTTATTTAGAAATGTTTGCAATTTTTCAGTTGCATTATTACTTATCTTCTATTCTGACTTAAGTAGGTATATTCCTGATGACTTCTCTGCTTCAGTTATATAGGTTTTAATTTAATTTTTTTCTTCTTGCTATCTTTAGTAGTTTTAATATAGTGCTTTTACTCTTGAGGGGCTGAACATCAAAACTATTTCAGTCTCCCCTTACATTAGGGAATCCACTTTTCAATGGCCCTGCCCCAACTAACTTCTGTGGGGGACTGTTCTGGACCCAGCTGGATGCCTCTAACCTTTCCTTCAGGCCTGGTATGACATCATACAATAGCCCCCTACCCCAATCATTTGTGATCTTTAGTTCTGTGGTAGGGCTGAGTGTCTGTTGCTTTTTTTAGGATTAGGGGAGGGCACACTGTATGTTCTGGGCAGAGTTTCTGCTGTTTTAGGGTTCCCTAACCTAGAGGCTGTTCAAGGTAGTCCTCCTGTTCCTGTATCTACCATTCTTATGTATGTGGATAGACAAAGGTTGTTGAAGCAGAATTTTGAGCTAAAGGAGGGATAGGTGTGCTGGCAAAAACTTCATGAAGAGGAAAACTCCTGAGTGGGTCCCAGAGCACAAGCAGGTGGGTTAGTCTGTGTGCCCTACTGGAATGTGGAGGCTGGTGGAGGACAAGTGTTGAGTTAGTGTTGTGTTTGTTCCTAAGGCTGTTACTTTTGGGGGATTTTTGTTTTCTTGTCTTATGGAGATAGTTGTAATTGCTCTACCTCTGGCTCATAATTCCTCTTTTGAGGTTATTGGTTTGTTTTATTTTGTTTTGTTTTTTGAGAGTTAATAGGTACTGGGGAAAATGTCTAGTTTCTATTTTGCTGATCATATGACCTGCCAATTTATACAGGAAGCTCTTCCTAATTCTCCTAATTGTTAGTGCTTATTTTTTCCTCAAATTATCTTGTATTTATTTATCTGTGTAAATGTTTTATCTTTCCAGTAGAATGTAAGCTCCACTCTTTTTCACTGTCTTTATATCCCTAGAACCTTATCCATAAGAGATGCTTTAAAAATAGAATGAATGCCCAAATTAGTATGAGGCTGAAAGCTCAATTTGAACTTTTTCTCCGTCAACTTTAAAACTCAGAATTCAAGTCAGACAAAAAACACATTATATAGAATATAGTTCAAACAATTACTCCCCATTCATCAATCTACAAATGAATAGTATTTTACAGGAAGAAAAATACATACTTACTTCATGGATAGCGTTACTTTGGGTTTAAAATAGGGTTCCTTCTGGTCTGCCAGAAAGATGATTAAATCATTTCCTAAAGGAAATAAGAATTGTGTTAGAGAAGCCTTGAACAAATGTATTGGTGTAGCAAATCATAGTGATGGTTGGTTCTGGCACTTTTACAAAAAAAAAAATTCAGGCACTATTCTTTGGAAATGGAATTTCTGAAAATTTCTGAATTACCTTTTCTCTTTTGATCTATTTCATCTTACCTATACATCCAGGGATATTTAAAACCAATGTGCCACTTTTAATGGGACAGGGACTCTTGTAGAATATCCCATTACTTGTTCAATTTTCAAAGCAAGAAACAAATGGGCAGAAAGAACTACATAAGAAGATATAAACACAATATTAACAGAAGAAGTTAGCTTCTATCAGGAGCCAGAAGAGCTCATCTTAACAGTAGAAATTCATTAAAATTCATTATTATGCTTCTGCATTATGGGATCAAATCTTTCCTTAAAACATAGCAATAAAAATAGGCTGAAAAAACATTACAAATCATGTCTTAATCTTGTCTTCTAGACCAGGGTTATAAGGGGATTTGACTGTATTTGATAAGTCTTAAATACCATTAAGTATTTGCTTATAAAAAGACTTATCTAAACCACCTGAGGACTACACCTGTACTACACAACTTGTTTTTTTCCTCTTACAGTAGTGAAATGTAGCCTTAAAGTCGGGAAGGCTCAGGCCTCTGATATGTATTAGTTATGTGGTCATGGGCAAGTCACAGTCTCTTTCAGTGCCAAATTTAATTTTTTTCAGAATATGTTACATTTCAATTGTAATATACATTGGTCGAGGGAATTTCTACACTGGAGTTACCTCACAGTAATGAAATCACATCTAGAACAAAAGTACTTAATATCATACAGGGCACAAAAAAGACACTCAAATAGCGGATAGGCTGATATTTTAAAAACTTTAATTGCTTTATATTCTTATGTTTATTGACTGACTCATACCTTGTAAAGCAAAACTTTTCCTTTTAGTTACATAATACAGCTGACAATTTCTCCACTTCTCATAAGAAGTAGAGTCAAAGGGAAGATGCCTGGAATCTAAGAAAGCCTGGAGTCCTCAGTAGAGGATCATGAAAAACCTTATTTTGGCTTGCTATTCCAAATGTTAGCCCTTGGCTGAAGTCAATTCTCCCTTCTTAAATCTTGAATTAAAATACTCCCTATGCCGATAAATTGCCTATCTTCAAATTTAGAAAGATTCTGATTAGATAATTGAAGATGTACATTTCCTGGGAACCACAAATTTGACATGCGTATTATATAAGTAAAATCATGATCCAGGGGAAGGTGAGAATCAGGAACACAAAGAAGGAACACCAGATAACTAAGGTTAAGGATGTTCCATAGTCTATAGATCAAATCTTTAGGGATCTAAGTATAAAGAAAATATATGGCATTAAGCACGAGAGTTTATGGTCAAGGAGAATAACTGTTGGGGATTAACTCCAAGGAAGAAATCGACATAGTGGGACATAGAGGGAAAGATGGAGAGTTGTCAGTGTCTCATAGGGATGTTTGTTGTGTATTAATGTTGGTATGGGAGCAAGGGATCTTGAACATGAACATGGAAATAAGTTATTAGAATCTTAGAATATGAAAGCTGGACTATTATATAGCTTGGAGATTATACAGCTTAATATCCTCACTTTACACAGGAGGAAAATGTGGCCTCCACAGATGACTTACTCAAGGTAACATAGCAAGTTAATAACAGCTAAGATTAGAACAGAACATGACTAGGACCAATAACAGGACCAGAACTACAGCATAAGAAGCTTTATGACAGTGCTTCACTAGAACAAGTTGCTTTATCTTAGGGTACCTAGAGGAAAGAGAAGATGACTTTTGGAGAGCCCTGAGGAGTCAGCTAGAGAGGGGGCCAGGAAAGGGAGCTGTCGTAGTTTTGAAGATAGGCATGTTGATAGAAAAATGAGCTGTTAGCATCCTTGAACATGTATGCCTGTGTTCTCATGAAAGTACAGGTGGAAAGAGGTCTTTAAGGGGAGAACGGAATAACAGGAAAGTTTTGGGAAGAAGGAACAATGGAAGTAGGAGTTATTATAGTCTTAAAAGTATTTTTTATATTGAGTGGAAGTAGATGATGTAAAGAGATGGCAGAGCTCCACAGATTTTGGGTAATGGGGAAGAACAATAAACTGTAAGGATACTGAAAATTGGAGGAGACAGTCATGAGGAAGAATAGGTCTTTTAGGGACTCAGACAACAGGGATGAGAGAAGGTTGTCAGGGGCTGTGGTTATTGCTGGGGGGTGTTGGGAGAGGCAAAGAAAGAAGGCAGTTATTATCTTAGGTCAGAGGAGCCATTTAGGCTACTAACATGGGCCTAAGGATGAAGAGTGAAGCTATTAAGAATCCCTAGAGTAGGTTGGGAAAGAGAAGAAGCTGTCAGAGTTAAGACTAAGCTTGGAGGAACGGGAAAGACAAGAGGACAGAGACAGGGGCTGGAAGTGAGATGCTAAGAAAGGCAAAGTCACTGTCAGAAGGATGGGGATTGTGGGGTCAGACAGCAGGGTAGTCAGGCTCTGAGAACAGATATTGGGAGTGTTCTGGGGATGGTCAGAGGTCTTTCTGGAGAATGGGGCTGAGAAAGGTGGAGGCAGGGAAGGAGACTGTCAGAGTCTAAGTAGGGAGATGGGGTGCTGTCAAGGCTCAGGTGAGGGGCAGAGGCAGGGAGTGGGGCTCTCAGGAGGATGAAGATGGTAGAGGCAGGAAGTGGTACTGTCAGGAAAATGGGAGGATGGTAGGGGCAGGGAGAGGGGGGCTGTCAGGGCCTGAAGATGGAGACAGGTGTCATCAGGGCTCTGGAGACGGGTGGGGGTAGAGGAAGGGCTGTCAAGAGTATGGAGATGGTGGAGACAAGAAATGGGACTATCAGGAGCCATCAGGTTAGGGAGAGGAGCTGTTAGGAGCTGTTAGGATCCAAGTTTAAAGATGGAGGGCTGTCAGGTCCTGGAAATGGCTGGGGGCAGAAATGGGGGCTGGTAGGGTCTGAGGATGGAGATAAGGGTGGGTGTCAGGGCTTAGGGGATGGGATGGGGAAGGCAAAGGGAGGGTCAGGAGGATGGCACCAGGAGGTGGGACGGGGATGGGAGCAGAAGGAGCTGTCAGGAGGCGACACTGACTTTCCCGCAGCACGAACAGGTCCGTCTGCTTGTCCGAGTTGAAGTCCCCGAAGGCGGCCACGGTCCCCCAGGCCTCGGGGCCAAACAGCTCGCCCGTGACGTTGTGCAGCGCTGCGGCTGGGCCCGGGCCCAGTAGTCCCAGTCCCAGCAGCTGAGCCAGCAGCGCCCAGGCGCCCAGAAGCCGGCCCGCGGCCGCCGTAGCCATTGCTCAGCCGTGCCGGCGGCCTGCCCTCCCCGACCTGTCAGCGCCTCCTGCCAATCCCAGACCCCGAGCCCGGCCCCGGTGCCGGCCCAGGCTTGGCAGCGCCTCCCGGCAGCCGCCAATCGCCTAACCCCAGGTCGACCGGAAGTAGCGTCACAACGCGGCGCCCTGGTCTCCGCGGCCTTCCGCGGTCTTCCCCGGTCTGGAGGGCTCGGTGTCTCCCCGGCCGTCCCAAGCGGGATTCCCAAGGAAGAAGACGTCGGTCCAAACCACTTCCGGGCGGGGCCCCCTTTGCGACAGTGTCGTACGGAGGCGTGGGGGGGCGGGGCTCACGGGGGGAACGGAGGCGGGGCATGCGCGGAGGTCCGGCCCTGGGGAGGGTGCCCGGGAAGCCGGGCTGGGGCAGCTGGGGACACATTGACCTGGGCATCAGCGAAGGCGGAGGCGTTGGCGTTGGCGTCGGCGTCGGCAGTAGCAGCAGCGGCGGCCGGGGTAGCCATGATGGGGGCGAAGGGGCTCATGGCTGACGTCAGCTGGAAGGTCCTGGAGCGGAGGGCCCGCACCAAGCGTTCAGGTTTGGCTCGCGGGCAGCCCCGTTCTTGGAAATAAGTTTGGCCTCTGCTTGCGCCCCAGAGAGCGGCGCGCAGCCGCTGCCGGGGTGCCCCCGAGCCTGTGGCTCCCCGAAGTCAGGCAGCAGCCTCATTTTTAGAAATAAGTTCATTCCTTGAGTCTCTCCCCGAAATCTGGCGACGGCCTCATTTTTATAAATGTTTGCCCCTTGTGTCTCATTCCGCCTTCCCTCAAATCGGCCTATGGCCCCATTTTTTAGAAATGTTTGCCCCCTCTGTCTCCAGTGCCCCAAAATCAGGCGACAGCTGCTTCCTTAAGAAATAAGTTTGAACTTTTTGTTTGTCTCCGCATCCCCTCAAATGAGCTGATGCCCCCCTTTTTAGAAATAAGTCTGCCCCCTTTGTCTTTCCAACTCCCAGAAATCAGGCGACGGCTCCATTTTTAGCAATAAGTTTGTCCCTTGTGTCTCTTTCCAGCTCCCCCAAATCAGGCGGCGGCCCCGTCCTAAGAAATAAGTTTCCCCACGTCTCTCCCCCCAGCCCCGGCCAAATGAGCTGATGGCCCTATTTTTAGAAATAAATTTGCCCCCTATGTCTCTCTCCCCACCTTCTCGAAATCAGGCCATGGCCGAATTCTTAAGAAACAAACTTCTTGTTTCAAATCAGTTGATGGCCCCGTTTTTTAGAAATAACTTTGCTCCCTACCACTCTCTTCACCTTCCCAAAGTCAGGCATGGTCCCCATTCTTAATATGTTTGCCTCTTGTGTCTCTCCACCTCCCCTCCCCTCCAGGTCAACTGATGGCCCCATTTTTGGAAATCAGTTTGCCTCCTATGCCTCACTCCCTCTCCACAATCAAGTGACAGCTCCATTTTTAGAAATAGGTTTGCTCCTTATGTCTCTTTCCCTCTTCCCGAAAATCAGCCTGCTGCCCTATCCTCTTTGAAATAGATTTGTCCTCTAGCCCTCCTCCCACCCCGAAATCGGGAGGCTGACCTCTTTTTACGAACAAAGATTGCCCCTTTCCTTCCACCCCGTCCAAATAGGGATAGCTTGACGTCTCCTAGAAACTACATGCCGCACTACTCTAAATAAAGTTTTCTCTTGGCCTCTGCCCCAGAGCGCCCCCGGCCATCAGGCAGTTTCTCCAAGATTAGAAATAAAGTTGCTCACTGTCCTGTCCACGGTCACCGCTCGAATTCTTAGCTATGAGATTTTCCTCTGTCTTTTAAAATAAACTAGCATTTATTAGGTGCCTACTAAGTGCTAGGTGCTGTGCTAAACACTGGGCATACAAAGGAAGAAAAAAAAGCAGTTCCTTCCCTCAGGAAGCTCACAGTCGAATGGGGGAGACATGCAAAAAACTATGTTCAAATGATATGTTTGGAAAATAGTGGTTTGTTTCCTGTGTTTGCTCAATTCTTGAAAGTAAATTTGTTCCCTGGTCTCCCATCTTCCTTAGAAAATAGGTACCTGAACAAACAAAACAAAACAGTAACCTGTTCACCATATAGTCCTTTACCTCCCTTCCTGCAAAGAAGGCCTCAGGTGGCTGCTCTTAGAAATAATATTGCTTACTTTCTGGTTCATTCCCCTAGAAACCAGGCTGCTGCTATTATCCCTGGAAGTAAAGAAGCAACTTTTTAGCATTCAGTCCTCATCTTTTCTAACTTCCTCTTCTTTTCCTAAGTATCCTCCGACCTAAAGTGAAGGGGAATTAAGTGATGAGCTTCTAGGAAGCTCAGAGATGGACCAATTTGGGATATGTTTTCCCACAGTGCTTATCAGTTCAAGGGGATGGTAGTCAAAATTATCCTTTAGCTCTCTGGTTTTCAGGTTATTTCACTTCTAAGTTAGAGAATGAGACTCTTCCCTGAGGTTGCAAGGTTCCTAAATACTCATTCTCTCTACCTTGTCCTGACTCTTTTGCTGATAATGTTTGGTTTTCCTGGAAACTTCACATTCATCCAGTTCCCAATTGAACCTAGCATTCTCATGATTTTATTAAAGTCAAGAAAAATCCAGTCTTCACTCATTTCATTCCTAGTTATTCCTTCCAAATCCAAAACAAATTTAAATCAGCATTCAGGCAGTTATAATTTTTAAAGTTTCCTGAGGTGATTTACCCAAATTTCAAAGTCCTTATGTTCAAGTTGACACTTGTGACAAGTATTGATATGGTAGCTCTTAAAGCAGGAATTACAGCTTTTATCATTTCTTAGCCAAATTAATATGGATTAGTAGCATGCAAAAGTACAAAATGAAAAGCCATGGGCTAATTTTTTTACCTTCAAAGTTCTCCTTTTTAGTATTATATTATTAATATATGTTATGTTATACTTATTAATATTATATATTATATATTCTATTAATAATAATAGAATTATTTTAATTCTGACAAAAATGCTGGTATGGAGCCCCAGACACAGGAGAAAAAAATTCATAAAACTCCCTATAGTTATACTGGAACCAGCCTTTATTTGTATTGATTCTGAGAGACACTTCAGTTATCTCTTGGTCATGCCACTGTTGCACTCTGGCCTTCATGTAAAAAAGTTGTTACCTGTGCACAATAGACTGTGGCATACTATGGGGGAGGGGTATCTATTTTTGAAACTATAGGGGAAGAAATTCAGCCATCTTTAGCTGACAAAAAAAAAGAATAGTGCTGAATTTCTTTGGCTGGAGACACATTCCAAAAGGATTTTTTTTTCTGGAGTCTTTAGAAGTACGATTTTGAGAGAAATTTTTCAAACTAGTACATTTCAGAAATAGTAACTTAACAAGATGCACATAATGGAGTTTTTATTTGCCCTTTTGGTACTAAGTACCTTGTAATATGAAACAGGAGAGTTGAAAAGGAACAATGTAGTTGTCTAGAATATAATAAAGTATCATTTGGATTGTAACTGGATAAAGAAAGTAACCAGAGCTTTCTTACAGGAGAATGAACACTACCTGAACATAGATTTTTTCAAGAATTCCTCTTTCTCTAAACATAATATTTCCCCTTTCTCTGCTCTTTTCTCTATTTCTTCTGAAATGCATGTCGTAAGACTAAACTAAAAATTTCGGTTAGTTCACAAAATATGTTAAGGATATATTTCTTTAATTCAGAACCTCCTTTTTTCAGATATTTATCTGGCGTTAACAGTAGTTGTTGATATCCAGTCAATTAAATATCCAGAATAAGTAGTAATAACTGTCTTTCCACAATTTTAGTCATATTGTATAATACAATAAAAATTAGAACTACATTCAAGTTTACATTATCCCCCAGAACACTAATCGTTTTAAGATGTCAAATTCCTTTGTTAGTTCTGTGTTATTTGCAATATAAAGATTATCTAGTGAAACATTTATTTCTTGTCTTACTTTAACATAAAGAAGTTTATTTTTGTTACTTTTTTAAAAAAATCTACCATACAAAGGATTTGGCTTAAAATCTGGACTAACCTCATATACAATGTACTATAGTAAAACAAGCATTGTTATGTAATAGAATAACACAAACTCCATAGCACATATAACACTTGATAAATAGATAATTGTGTATCTCTAGACCAAGAGTAACTTTTTTGTGTATGTCACAGAACCCTTTGTCAGTTTGATGGACCCCTTCTCAGAATGTTTTCTAATGCAGAAAATAAAATACATAAGATTACGAAGGAAACCAATTATGTTGAAATGTAGTTATTACAATATATTTTTTAAAAGTTCACAGACCCAGGTTAAGAACCCCTGGGCTAGGCTCACCTCTGTAACTGAAAATAATTTATTAAAGCAAAGGATAAAGAAAAAGCAAATCTTAGAGGAAAAAAATATAATGAACCTACACTATCCTCTGTTTTACACTGTATCGCATTAATAACAACTAATATTGCTTTTACTTAATTTAATACTGATTGCATCTAACCTTTACTAACCAACTTTGAAAATTACTGTAGTTTAGCCTGCGACATAAATGATTAGAGGGAACGGTTTGACATGGACACTTCAGATGATGCAACAAGCAGCTGCACAAGTGTTTTCTTAAGGTCTGGTAAGTGTGTGGACCCAGAAGGGGTTATTTGGTGTTTTAAATATGCTTGTTTTTCAAGTTTTTTTTTTAATTTCCATTTTTGCTTTTACTTATTTGTGGGAAAATAAAATATTTTAGCTTTCATTAGCCTTAGATTTGAATTGTATTTAGTACTTGAACAATTGTGATTTTCTTTTATTTTTTTTTTAAAGATAAGTACTTATTGTGCTGATAGTTGGATTTAATCATTAGGAATTTTAATGAGATCTCCAAACTAGAGAACCTTAATTTTATCCTAATTCCTTCATTGTCTAGATTTCTTTACTTTTAAAGTTTTTATTGAAATTATTTGCTTTTACATCATCTTTATTTCCAAATATGGCCCTCTTCCTTCCCCTATTCTGTGAGCCATCTCTTGTAACAGTATAAAAGAAAGGAGGAAGCAGTTCTATAAAACTAACCAACTTAACACTTGAGTCTGATAATATTTGCAATTTTTCCTGCCTAAAGTTTTCTACCTCTGCAGTAAAGGGAGGGAGGTACAGTTTCTTATTTCTTCATCAAAGGTAAATTTGATCATTATAATTATACAGCATTAAGGTTCTTTTTATTGTTTTTTCCTATTT